GGCTACAAACTGTATGATTCCAACCGCGTGACATTCTGGAAAAGTGTAAAAAGATGAGAGGTTGCGGGGTTATGAGAAGCGGGGCTGAGCAGGCAGAGCCCGGAGGATTTTTAGAGCAGTGAAACCACTCTGTAGGATATTCTAAAGGTGGGTACATGCCATTATACATTTGTCCCAAACCAGAAAACGTACAAGAGTGAACCCTAATGTAAAGTATGGGCTTTCGGTGACAAAGCTGTGTCAGTGTAGGTTCGCGGACGGTAACAGATGTGCTGCTCTGAGAGGATGACAGTGAGGGAGGCTGTGCAGGGGGGCGGGGGGGGCAGCGGGGGGGGGGGGCATGGGATGTAGGGAGCTCTCTGTACTTCCTGCTCAATTTTTCTGTGAACTTAAAACATCTCCAAAAAGTAAAGTCTATTTTAAGAACAATGTCATGAAAGACAAAGACCTGAAAAACCATCACAGAATGAGATGAGGACAATTATAAAGAGAGAATGGGAAAAACAGTTTACTTATACTAGTAACCATGACCACAAGGTATCTAACAGTACATCAACCAAAAAAAGTGCAGGACCTTTAGGAGAAAGCTTTAAAACAATATTGAAGATTTGAAAAAATGGAAAGATAACCCTGGGTTCATGGATGGAAACACTTCCCTCCAGAGTGTCAAATTCATCTAATAATCCACAAATTCAATATATTTAAGAAAAAACCCTACAGGGGTTTCATGGGGATTGACAAATAAGATAATGAAGAAAACAAGAAGAGAAGGGAACTGCCTTCTCCCTGTCCCCCCACCCCACCAAGAAAAGCCTTGTTTATAATGCCTTGGTAACTGAAACAGGATAGTACAGGCACAGGCACAAACAGATCAAAGGAATACAAAAATAAGAATTAAGCCCAAGCAGAGAGAGAAACTTCGTATTTGATGGCGTTAGCATCATATCCAATAAATGCTGCTGGGTTATGTAACTGGCTTAGCATAAGGAAAACAGAAAACCTGACACCATATACAAAAATAAATTCCAGATGACTTAAAGTCCTAAATGGGAAAAGCGAAATGTTAGCGCTGTCCACTCCTAGCTATTGATCTAGCCATCCTATTTTTAGTAATGGATTTTGAGAAAATAATTGGAAAAGGGCAAAAAGACATGTGTATGAGAAGATATCCTCAGGTCCTTCTATTATTATTTACTGTAAAATGGAAGAAAACAAAAAACCTAAATGCACAACGGAGAGTTAATTAAAGGGTATAGTAGCACTAATAGGATGATGCAGATCTACACTGCTGACATGAAAATGAACCCTATAAAAGTGGATTGCGTATAGCTCCAGTAATCAAGGCGGTAGTTTGTGTGGATACCAACAGAATCTGTTCAATGTGACAGAACAGAGAACCCAGAAATATACCCACACAAATATCCCCACTTATTTTTGAGAAAAGTGCAAAAGCAGCTCAACAAAAGATGCTTTTCAACAAATGGTGCTGGAGCAACTGGACAGTCGTAAGCCAAAAAAGAAAGAAAAAGATTTAAAAAGAACCTTGAACAAAATCTCTTATCTCATACAAAAACTAACTCAAAATGGATCATGTATTCAAATGCAAAACTATGAAACTTGTAAAGAAAAAAAACACAGAAGAAAATCTTTGAGATCTGGAGTTAAGCAAAGAGTTAGACTTAACCCGAGGACACGATCCATAAAAAATGAATAAATTAGACTTCACTACAATTAAAAACTTTTACTCTGTGAAAGACTTTGATAAGAAAATGAAAAGACAAACTATAACCTGGGGAAAAAAATATTTGCCAATCACATATCTGACAAAGAACTTGTATCTAGAATGTTTTCAAAACTCCCAAAAATTGACAGTAAAAAAAAAATCCAACTACAAAAAAAGCAAAAGACATGAACAGACGTTTCATCAAAGACAACATTCAGATGGCAAGTAAGTACATGAAAAGATGTTCAATAATGTTAGCCTTTAGGGAAACGCAAATATAAAGCACTTTGAGGTATCACCGTATGCTTATTAGAATAGCTAAAATAAAAAACAGTAAGAATACCAAATGCTGGCAAGGATACAGAGAACCTGATCAATTATATATTGCTAGTGAGACTATAAAATTGTTCGGCCACTCTGGAAAACAGTTGGCAGTTTCTTAAAAAACCAAATATGCAACTATTAAATGACTCCACAATTGCACTCGTGGGCATTTCAATGGTGAATGATTAAATGTACTGCCGTACATTCATGGGGTGGAATACTGTTCAGCAACAAAAAGTAATGAAGGTTGATGTATGAAATAACCTCCAGAATGAATCTCCAGAGAGTTATGGCGAGAGAGAATAGCCACTCCCAAAAGATTATATCTTGCATGATTCCATTTATGTACTATTTTGGAAATGACAAAATTACAGAAATAGAGAACAGATTAGTGGCTGCAGGGATGAGGCGGGGAGAGGGGTAGGAGGTCGGCTGCTGTAGCTATGAAATAGCACCATGCGGTGGTGGGAACAGCCTGCATCCGCATTGGTGTCCCGGCTGTGGCACTGACTCTAGTTCTGCAAGGCGCTACCATTTAAGAGAACTGGGTAAAGGGAACATGACGTCTCTGTAGTCTTTCTCCTAACTGCATGTGCTTATACAGTTATCTCAAAATAAGAGAGCACATACGAGTCCACTTTTATACAGTCTGCGTATTAATATACAATAACACAATCTCTACATCTTAATAAATGTCTGGAAACATATACAAGCAAAGAGAAATAGTGGTTATTTCTGTTAGTGACATGATGGGTGATTTTTCAATTTCTTCATATGTTCATGTATTACCAAATTTTTTTTAATGAGCATGCTATATCATAATTTTAAGAAAAAATAATTAAAGCTGTTTTTATTATGAAAAAGAGAATATATGCTTATGGTATATATTTTTTCCAGTGAACATTTTACTACATTAATTCTTCAAAATGTAACTTTAACAGTTGTTGAACATTCTGTTACACTAATCTATTAATTTTATCATTTCCCTTAAGGACGGTGTCTGATTTCTTACTGTTAAGAAAAATAACAGTGCAATAGATTCCTTGAACTGGCATCTTTACATGCATCGATGGTTATGCCCAATAGCTGGAACTCCAGTTAATGAGTTACTGGGTAGGAGTTAGAGATACTAGAGTACTGAAGAATTGCTGTCCTAAGACTAAGAATTTATGTCCCCATCATTAGTGTATGTGCGAGAGACCATTTCACTCTGTCCCTGAGAAGCTGTCAAAGCTGTGTTCGCATTCCCAGCTCCACAGATCAACTAAGTAACAAAAAGACATACTAACTTCATACAACCACATCAAGGCATAATACAGTTGACTTCATCACAACCTTCAACTTTGCACAATGTAACACACATGGGCCTTCCCCCTCTTCATTTCCCTTCACCTCTGGAAAATTTACCCTTCTTAGCCTGACAATCAAAACTTACTTCTTTTTACCTTGTTCACCTGGCTCCAGCCACTCTCACCTGCTTGCTGCTCCTCAAACATACTACACACACCTCTGCCCGAATGCCCTTGTCTGGGTACCCCCAGGCTCACCCCTCACCGACTCCAGGTCTTTGCTCGGAGGTCCCATCAGAGGCCTTCCCACCCCATGCTGTGCAAATTAGCAACCCCCTTCTCCAGCCTCCCTGTCTGTATTTACTTGCTCCGTTTTTCTCCAGCAACGACACGAGAAGTTTTTTAAAATTATTTTCCCAACATTTTCCAAAAGTGAAAAAACAATCCTCCAAGGCAACTGCCATCCCAACTTCAGTCTGCCCTTATTATTACAGGAACCGAAATCAGCTCTAGCACAGTTTATTTCTCAGCCTTCCCTCCTACAACCTTTACATTGCTATCTTTCCCCCACGTTGGCCTCTACCCACACAAATGTCCACAAGTTAATGCTGCTCACTGAGGAGCTCCGTTCACACCGCCCTCTCTGTTCAGTAACGTTTGGGTGAAGACTGCTGTTCACGGCATCCTCCTTTGCACCTTTATAGCACCCAGTCTCTGTCCCCGACAGAAGCCAAATCAACAAAGATTAGTAGAAATATAATTAGTTAATTCATCCTAAGGGCGTGTGATTTGATAAGTAACTGAGAGAAAAGCAAATTCTTGTAGTTTGTAACTGGAAATAAGAAAGATATAAAAATCTATGGCCTGTGTTCTTAAGATACTTCCATTCCATTTATTTCTTCAGGTTTTATCATCTCTTTTATTTTGTCTTATGTCTTTCCGCCTGAAAAATTCTTATTCTAGTTTGACATTATCCAAAAAGCATCTCCCTAGTGTGTGTCATTCCATTCAGCACTGACCTCCTCCCTCTGAATAGCTAGGGCTGCCTCCTTCTGACGGTTCTCCACCCCAGGCAAGTGCCTTCTACCTCAGTGAGTCTCCAGGTCGTACTGAATTTCAGCCTCTCCCTCAAAACATATTTGAAAGCTCCCTTTCCACACATCACTTCATGGACTGTTTCCTACGGGTTTTAGGACTCAGATCCATGCAATCAGGCCTTCAGAAAACGCTCGCTTTTAAATGCCATTACCCAATTAAATTATTTTTAGAAGAAAGTACTTCGAGATAAAAATACATCTTTAAAAAAGACAACTTTATGTTATTTATTTTCCTCTCTCATTATAATAGGCAATGCAATGCGCTTGCTTTCTTTTGTTTTTTACCTAGACTTTTCCATGGTTGAACTGGAAACATTTTTAATTTTTAATTTCATTTTCCTTGAAATGTAAAATAAACTAAAGCAAGGGAGAGAAATTTTAAAGAACCACAAGTAACATCCTGTGCTATTTTGATGGTAGAAAAAAAATGATTTTGAAAACAGTGATACCTTTCTGCATTCTGCACCAAAACTTCCTGCGCTGCACTCAACGGCTCACTACCACATGATACATGAAATATTCCCTAAGAATTAAAACCTTCCTTAGGGGCCATGAAAGACTACTCACCAGACTTCTTTGCTCTCAAAGCAATAACAGCTGCTAGCTCTCTCTGCACCTAATAAAATATTAGAGGAAAAAATCCATTAGAATAGGAAAAAGGTTAGCTATCAAAAGCGGTACTTTGTTCTTACATATGCAACCCAAATTAAGAGCTACTGCAATTAGAGCTAAGTTTGCTGCCACTTCTGGGGTTTTGGTTTGATTTCAGTAATGTGGAAAAACTCTGCATAGGAATTCTAGGCCAAAAATCCAAAAGAGTTATATTGACTAACTTTAAAAAGAAATTAGTTGCCAGAATATACATATTATAAAACACTGCTTTTCTGCCATCCCAATGGGAAGATTCAGAAATAAAGCAAATAAAAAATTATTAAAACAGGCACAAAGTTGGCAAGGATACTATTATTTATACCTCAAAGATTCTAGTTTATATAGGAATTCTAGAACAATTAAGATAGGCTCCCCCGCTTTAGTTGGACCTTTGCTCAAACACAATTAATGTTCACCTGAAGTCTAACACGTTTATAGCGAGCAGTTCAGAAAACAAGCCATATAAAACCTCATAGCACAGGAGAAATGGGAACAGGCAAGACGAACTTAAAAATCGAAAGTGCTATATCCCCCCCTCACAACACTTATTTCTCCAGATTTTTGCTTTCTCATTCTCTGTTTTTCATCCCCACACACTTTGAATACTTTAAATCCTTTCCCGAAAACCTTCTCAAAGAGGAACATAAAAGAGACAAAAAAAAAAAAAAATGTTAACCATGGTCACCTTCAAGGACAACATGAAAAAGGAAACTAGCAAACATCATTTTTGGGAAATCTGTGTTTGGTAGCAATTAAAAATTCCGTATCAAGCAGGCTCATTCCCCCACAGGGCACGACCTTTGAAGCTTAGAAGCGTGGTGGTGGCGGTGCCGCTGCTGCATTTGGAGGGGTCCAGATAATGACATTTCAAAGCGAGAACATGGAAGTTCAAGGTTCAAGAAGCTTTGCTGTTAAAGTAATCTAATTTCTATTCATTTACTTGTAGCAATAATAGCACAAGGTGCCGGACACTGGGGCTCCACTCAGGGCCCCCTTCACGACGGTCGGGGCATCATCCCCCAGAAGGGGGCCGCTTCCCCGGCTGGCAGGGCGGAATGCCGTTCCCAAGGGGATGTTCTTATTTAGCTGCGTCTTTGACACCTGAAGACTCTCTCTCAAAAATTATCCAGTAATGAGAAGACAACTGGTCCCACCGCAGCCGTGGAGATCTGAGTTCTGAAAATGCTCACAGCAGGAAGCTTTGCAGGTCAAGATCTTACAGGGAAAAAGACGGCTGGCGGAGACAGAAGTGACGAGTGACCCTAGGAGAACCTTCACAGAAACCTGCGGAGGTAGTCAGTGAAAACAACAGCAGTAAACAGCAACTACTGCTTATTTTATATATTGAAAGTCGTTAGTAAGTTTTATTGTAGTATCACCATCTCTTTCCAGGATTGTGCTCCTTCAGAGTGTCACAAATTTTGGGGGTGAGGCCAACATACAGACTATAAGCATTCACTGGGATCTTGCCGATGGCGGCCAGGTGTTAGGACCCCCCCAGAGGCTCTCACCACGGCTCAGAGACAGAAGGAGAGCGGAGAGGCAAATGGTGCTTGTGGATCACTTCGTTTGCTTACAGAGGGTCAAAACCAGTCTTTTCTCCCCGCCCTCCTCTTTCAGCTTTCCATATCTGAAACTCTCTTCATGAGACCTTCAGCTTCTCTTTTCTTTTTCTTTTTTTTTTATTCTCACCCCAGGGCATGCTCATTGATTTTGGAGAGAGAGAAGGGAGGGAGAGAGGGGAGAGAAATATTGATGCAAGACAGAAACTGGTTGCCTCTCCTATGCCCCTGACCAGGGACCCAACCCACAACCTAGGTATGTGCCCTGGCCAGAAATAGAACCCACAACATTTTGATTTATGGGAAGATGCTCCAACCAACTGAGTCATACCAGCCAGGGAGAGGTCTTCAGCTTTTCTTTTTCTAATTAGAACTAAGGATCAAAATACAAATAGCTCAGAAAAGGAAGGTATTCTATTCCTACCATTGAATAGCACTATGCCTTTTCAAAGATTTGGTGGGGGAAAGAAAGGGAGGAATGGGATGAGCAAGAAGCCAATATAGCATTTTGGGGAGCTGGGAAGGAGATGAGAGATGGCAGGGAGAAAGAACTGCACAGGTGAATTGGAACCCAAGTTTGCTTTTTTTTTTTTTTTTAAAACATAAAGTAAATGAGATTACTATAGGACACTAAATACCCTGAATGTCTGCAGTCTGGGAGGATGTAGGAGTGTTTGCTCTATGCAGGGTAGGGTGTGGAATAGCATCTGCTGCCCCAGGATGGAAAAGATTTTTTTGAGAGAACCCCAAAGTAGGTTATTCTTCTTACAAAACACAAACCACAAAACACTGTTCAAGCAAAAACACAAATTAGCTAAGACCACATTGTAAGATACTATGGCATCTCCACAGCACTTTCTTTTTTTTTTTTTTTTTTTTTAGTGTACTGGTAATCATTTAATCATTCTCAATTGTATGACTAATGCCTGTCTTCTGGAGGGAAGCTCCACTGAGGTAGGGACCTGTTTCCTTTCATGGTATAATCCAGGGCAATCAAGACTTATTCATTGACCCACAGGAGGTGGAGGCACAGGCAACCTTAAAAGAACATAGAAAAGATTTAGGGGAGAGAAAAAGCTGCCCTACGGAGGACAATGAAGATCAAAAGAGAAGGCACTCCCCACTAATAAGCTACTCTCAGCAGGAATCTTCAGGACTCAGGCCCGATTAGCATGCAAGGCCTCCTTTGCAAAGAATTGTTAGGCTTATATTGAAAACTAAAGCCCTGAGCAACTGCAGAAGCCAAGACTAGAATTTTTTCAGTATTAATAAGAGACCTATTGGAATTGAAAGACAAACGCCACAGACCAGCATCGGTCTAGCCTTCAAAGGACCCACATCCTGGCCCACGATTTGACAGCTTCCTGAGAGACTATGAGCAAAACCATCCAGCTCTAAGATGCTCCTGAATTCCTAACATTCAGAAACTGTGTGAGATAAAAGATATGTGTTGTTTTACACTGGTACAGTTGGGGGTCATTGGTCATGCTGAAGAGTCTTTTGCAGGACAGTGATTATTTTTCTTCTTATCTACTTGTGTGTTGCTGGTCAACCTTAGTCTCTCCCCATGATGGAAATAGAACCCTCTTCTCAGATCAGGCTGGAGAAATGGACATGTGTAGAGCCAAGAGCCACGTCTGCTACTGGCCATTGTTTTTATTTGATGCGGATGCTAAACCACTGCCGAGGGAATTACAAGAAAGGTTTTCTTCCTCTGACAGAAAGTACTTCACTGCCTTGGCTCTCCCCACCACAAGTCTTCCCCACTGTGCTCTGAAACCCCCGAGGCTAGATGGATGTCGAAATTCGAAATTTTATACATTTCAGAAAGGTGCCCTACTTACATCACACCCTCGGTGAGGTCTGGGGTGGCAGTTTGTCATCAGAAATCAGATGCATTAATATTTATGCAATAAAATGTGTGATTATTCACACCAAATGGGATGAAGGAAGACTATACAAAGCCTCAGGATTTTCCACTAAATAGGTTCAGTAGGTTTGATTTTTTTCACAAAGTAAATTATGAAAAGGTTTTGTTTTTCAGTGTTTTTATATTCAGAACTGAATATCGGATTGTAAACTATTAATTTTACACTAAAAGTTTCTCTCATCTTTTTTGTTTCCTCTTGTCAAATAGCTATGTAATCACTACTTAAATCTACTAAGAAATGTTTTAAAATAGTTTGGATATTCATCTACCTATTTCAGCAGTTTTCAAACCTGACTGCACATGAGAGCCACTTGGGGAGCTTTAAAATACTACTGATTCTTGGGCCCCAACTAAGTCAGAATCTCTGGGGGAAAAGTCCGGGCACCAGCATCTGCTGCTGCTGCTGCTGCTGCTGTTCCTGCTGCTGCTGCTTCAAAGGTTCCTAAGTGATTCTAGGTTGTACCCAGGGCTGAGAATAATTCCTCTGGACAGTAAGATATCTGAGTTTCCTCAAGACTCAATCTTTCAGTCCTATAATCATTTCAACGGACAATTGATCTTTACTCTTTATTTTGTTCTCCTCTAATTTAATTCATTTGTAAAGGAACATGGCCTTCACTGTGCTTTAAGTATTATGTAAATGATGCTATAACCCAATGCAATGATGAGATTCAGTTACTAACAGCAATTTGACAGACACAATCTACTCAAGTACAAGAAAAATTGCTAGGATGCTTTTTAAGAAGCTTAGACTTTAATTTAAAATGCAGTTTATTCAGTGTAAAAAACTACATAACTCAAAACACATTTCAAGCTTAGGGTATATTCGCTCTTAGAAATATCTAAATTGAGGGTAATTCAGGGACTGATAAGACATATTTCAAAATTTTCCCTCTCCCCTCCCTACTCATCAGAAACATGTTGGATTGCTTTGGTTTTTCTATCTTCAATAACCAGCAGGGCTGTTCACAAAACAGCCCTGCAATTTAACAGGCACAAGAGTCCATCTTCTTTCTAGAATTTTCTGTCTTCTCTTCTCGCTGGTACTTCAGCCACAAAATCTGAATGCCCCCAAAACTGTTCTGCATCAATGCCAAGATTCAAGAGGCAACAGAAAGCATCAAATGCAAACACTGAGCGCCAGGGAGCATCTCCGTGCGAAAGGTCAACTGAGAAGACACGAGCAGCCTGCAGGGAGCAAGAGGCCCTTGAAAACCAAGTGAGAAGCTGGAGAGAAAGAAGGTCATTTTTGGAGGACAGGCCAATAGTGGCAAACAGCTCACTAAAGGGTTGTCTGCCCAAAGAAATTTTTAATAGAATCACCAAATCACCAATTTCCTAAGGGTTTTTGGTAAATCTATTAATTTTAGAAACACTTACATTTTGATACCATGATAGAAATGTTTTTTAAAACATAGAACCCCTTTTCTCATTTCCTTAATTAACTGTAAGAAGAAACATAATTCAGTATTC